CAGACTGACAATGGCTGGTTGCCAAGGGTCCTGTGACAAAGAGGAGAGTGCACAGTGGCAACTCTACATTTTTCACTGGCTGCCCAAAATCCTTTGGCAGGCTGTATGGTGTGCAGGCCTGATCTAGAGTAACTACTCTTGGGTGCAATAAGGCAGGTTGCTGTATTGCTCGGTTGATTAGATTATGAGCTTCTCAAAGGCCAAGGCAGTCTTTTACCTTTCATTGTATCTCCAGTGCTTAACACAGTGCCTGGCAGTAGTAGGCACTTAACAATGCTCATTGACTGACTGATGGTCAACTTCATTCAGTCCATATGAGGTAATAGAAGCAGCATGGTACAATGGGATGAGTGATGGACTTTGAGACCTGGGAACCAAGCTCGCATCCCAGCTCTGCAAATTGCTTCCTGGGTCACCTTGGGCAAGTCATTTCACTTCTTAGGGCCTCAGTTTCTAGATCTGTAAAATGAGGAATGCCAGAGAATTTTCTGTCCTTTTTGAGTTCTCTCCAATATATATTTTTTAATAATGAGTTGGAGGAAGATAGAGACTTCAATTTATGGATCAGATGAAAAGAAGCTGGGAGACACAGTTAATATTTTTCATGGAGGAATTTCCTACCTCTCTAGTTGTTCATAATCAGGCCGATTACACATTACTACCCCCCATGCACTCAGTGCTCCAACTGAGCTGACCTCCCTGTTCTTCTCTGGTCAAGATATCCCATCTCCTGCTTCGATGCCTTTGGGCAACAGTTCCTGATGCTTGGGAGGTTCTTCATCCCCACCTGGTGACTCTTAGCTCCTTTGAAGGCTCAAGAGCCATCTTCCTTATCCCAGTTATTTGGTTCTCCCTGTAAGGACCTCAGTAGCCTCTCTGCCCTGCTAAATGAAGAAGCCCTGGGAAAGTTTGAATCCCCTGAACTACCCTGCCAAGTAAGTCCTGCCATCAAGGTCAAAAGTCCATTTTTAGGAGTTGGAATATCAACTAGCCACGAATTCGCCAAATATTCCCCAACTCGTCCTACCAGCATAAATCAGCACAAATTCCCCAACCTTGATCTGCATACCAGCTTTGAGCTCCTGCATCCTTCCTTCCCACCCCCACTTCCTCCTGCTTGACTTACATTAGAACTATCTATCTATCTATCTATCTATCTATCTATCTATCTATCTATCTATCTATCTACATATATACATACATATATGTATATGTATGTATGCAGACGTAGGTATATGCACATATATGTATTATGCATGTATATGCATGGATATATATGTATGCATGTGTATTTATACATACACGCATACATATGTTGCTATTTAATAATTTTCTGTCATGTCTTCATGACCCCATTTGGATTTTTCTTGTCAAAGATAGTGAAGTGGTTTGCTATTTCCTTCTCTAGTTTTACAGTTGAGGGAACTGAGACAAGCAAAATTAAGTGACTTGTCTAGGGTCACACAGCTAGTAAGTGTCTAAGGCCAGACTTGAAATTAAGGAAGATGAGCATTCTACCTACTGCACCACCTAGCTTCTCAGTGTATATGTACTGATTTCATTTTATGTGCATATATGCATATGAATACATATGCACATGTGTGAATATATATGTATCTGTACATATTTAATTATATCTAATTTCATGTGTATGTATATATATAGTGCTTATACCTATATACAGACATATATGTATGTAAATATGTGCATACCAGTAAATCCCAGTGCATATACAATATGTATAAGTACACAATGCATAACACAACATATATAACATACATGTGTGCACACACATATACACATATATGTATGTATGTGTGCGTGTGTGTGTGTGTGCGTGTATATATATATCTATATATGCACACACATATGCACACATACAAAACCATTGGAATCTGCCAGCTCAGAAGCTCAGATACCCAATTCCTCTACATTAGTGGACCTGACTTGTTCCCATTGTCCCCAACTGTCCTTCTTATGACTATTTCCCCCCAATAATACAGGCTTGCTTACTTTCACTCTGCTGACTCCTGACCTGTGCTGTCTTGTTCTGCCTCCAGTTCTGCACTTTGGATCATGAACCTCACTCAACTGTATTCAGATATCTTGCATTTGGACCCAAGCAAAACAAAACCAAGTGCCACAACATCCGATTATTTTTTTTAAGTCTCACCTAGATTACTTTACCCTTTTCTTTCACTGGGGTCTGCCTCCTGCAATTTCTACTTTGCACGGCCAACATTCCATTCATTCAAACCCAGCATTCAAAAATCTCCCGGGGTTCTTCATTGCCTACGGGCAGGCATCTTCAATCTCTTCTTCTCTCCAGCCTCCTTCTCCTTAGACTTCAAATATTTTAGGGCTCCTTTATTCTGCTTATCTTTCCCGGTTAGCACTCCCCAAAGTGCTAGAAAGAGTTGTCTATACATATTACCTCTACATGTAATCAACACCCACTCACCCCTTTGTAAAAACTATTTTCTGCTCCCAAGTCTTCAAATGAATCAGCTCTCTTCAAAGTCATGAATGACCCATTCATCACTATTTCCAATTGAGTATTTTTGCACCTTCATCTTCTGTGGATTCTCTGGAGTATTTGACCTCTGATCACTGCCTTCTTTTTGTTACCCCCTTCTGCCTTGGCTTCCATGGCATGAGAACCTCTCACAGTTCTCTTGCCTTTCTCTGATTGCCTCTTCTGCCTCTTTTTTTTTTTAATCTCCTTCCCACAGCTTAAATGTGTGTATACTCCAAAATTCTGGGCTAGGAACTCATCCTTTCTAGTTACAATCTCTTTCTAGATGCTTTCAACTATTTCCAAGGCTTTAATAACTACCTTTTTCTTTCTATACAGATGACTCTGACATATGGATCTAGATTTTAATTGAATATCCAATCCAATGAACATTTATTAAACACCTACTATGGGCCAGGCACTGTGATAAGTATTGGGGATACAATTGATAAAAATAAAGAGCTTACATTCCCTTAAAGAGATTACATTCTAACGAGGAGAGGCAATTCAAAAAAGGAAACCAGAGGCAGGGGGGAGACCAAGAGGTACCTTGTTCCATGGGGATGAAACCAGGCAGGACAGTAGATGTGAAAGTTCCTGCCCTCTCTAAAGGAAGGCATTGGGTGGAGTTTGGTACTCTACTCTCTAACCTTCCAATCAGAGGGGAGAGGAAACTAAGGGATGAGATGTTGCTTAAGGTTTGAGTTAGCAACATGGTGATAAGAGGTGCTAAGCTTAACCTGGGAGAGGCATCTTGTTCCATTGGAGTAGAAACCAGGCAGAGCAGATATAGGATATAGGGTAATGAATACCCAAACTCCTTAGCCTAGCTTTTGGGACTTCCCATATTTGAGTGTGGTGATATGGATAAAGCCAAATGGAAAATTTTGAATCAGAACAGAGGAAATTAGACCAATTTCTACAAAAATTGCCAGAAATGTTCAAAAGTAGGTCTTTTTTTTTTAATTGACCTGTAAAAAGTTTGGGATGATGTTTTATATTTTACAAACTACAAATTATAGAAGACTGAAAGAAAATAAGTAAATAAACAATCCTTTTTATAAAATGGTTAGTGACTGATTACAAATTAAAAGGGGAAAATATCACCAGCATCACATATGTCTCATGAAACCTCTTTTCACATAATTTAAAACAGATTGTGTCAAACAGCAAAGTGTGGCCCAAACCAGATTAAAATGTAATTGGAAAATATTTAACAAAATAAATAAAAATATAATGAAACACAGATAATATTACATTTTCAAATGAAGTCAAGAGTTTGTGGCTCACTGGGACTATTATGAATGAATTAGTGCCTCCCCATTTCTGTTTAAATCTGATATCACCGATACAGAATACCAGGGTTTCAAGGGACAAAGTTTGAGAAATCCTCAACTAAGTTATTGCAGAATTACTGCATTGGAAGAAACCTCAAAAAATATTTAGACACTTACTAGCTATGTGACCCTGGGCTACTCATTTGTTTTCCTCAGTTTCCTCATCTGTAAAATGAGCTGGAGAAGGAAATTGCAAACCATTCTACTATCCTTGTCAAGAAAACCCCAAATGGGGTCATGAAGAGTCAGACATGATTGAAAAATGACTGAACAACATATCCAAAGCATAAATCCTTTGTACAGCATCCCTAGTCACCCAGCTTCCACTTGGTGACATCTAATGATCACTGTTCCCAGTATGTCCACCTAAATGACCATCTAGTCTCCACTTGAAGATCTCTAATGATAGGGGACTCATTATCTCCTAGGGGAGTCTATTCCATTTTAGAGTAGCAATAATTGTTAGAAAGTTGCCCTCACATTGACCTGTAATTTATCCCCCTTTAATTTTTACCAGTGGTTCTACTTGTGTCCTCTGGAGCCAAACAAAACAAGAGTCTAATCTTCTTCTTCTTCTTGAGAACCTTTCAAGTATTTAAAGACTGACATCAGAAAAACCCCAAGTCAGAAAGGGCCCGAGAAGTCATACAGTGTATCTCCTAATTGAACAGACATCCTGTCCATGACTTCCTCATTGAGTGTTCATGTTGTCCCTACTTGACCTCCAGTGAGAAGTCACTGTTCCTTCTAAGTCATGTTTTCCTTAGGTTGCCCTAAATGACAGAAAACAGCTACACAGTACAATGTCTGGAACATAGTAGACTAATCTGATTACAGAAGACCAAGACAATCTTTTAGAATGGACTCAACTCAAACCAAGGTAAGCACCCTTATTCCTGTTAAGAATCATTTGATACGATGATGGTCATAATGCAATAGACGTTCTAGTATGCGTGTATGTATGTATGTAAATATATCTATGTTTATAATTAATTAACCAGGTCGTTCCCACCCCCAAACACCAGCTCCAGCTATACATAACTTCTCTCATCATTTAATATGTGTTGGGCTTAGGTGGGAGAAATGAATGGAAATCTGGGGCAAAAAAAAAATAAGTTTGACAAATACCAACTTCAGACCAATGAACATTATGTTTGAATACAGATCTTTATTAGGAAAATGATAAGTGCATATACATCCATCAAAGACATGAATGTGATGAAAAACATGTTTTTCTTTCTCAAAAGGAGTTACTCTTTTTTTAAAAAAGAAGCATGATGTATACACTACAGCTGCCTTCTGGAGGAACTTTCTTTTTCACATTATATGGGAGATTTGCTTTTTTAAAAAATACAAAATACAGTATTTATCACATTTTTACAACAACTACAGCAACAACACAACAATATTGTTATAATTGATCGGGGATTGAGCTTTTATGAACATTTTTTCTAGGGCAAATGGTTCCTTCTGGGCCCTTGATAGTGCCTGTGGGTTGGTCATGTCTCGAACCTAGAAATTTCTAACCAGAAAAATAAATAAAGCTATCATTTTGGTAACAGGCATTTCTCAGGTGTGTTTTCCCTGTCCAATGTGTGTCAGTGAAGGATTTCAAAGGGAGGAAGGTCCAAAGCTCCCAAAGAAGTGATGATACTGACTTTTTGTTGATTAGAGAAATCAAATTATACCAAGAAGACTTGAGTAGTGGCAATGGAGGGGTGTAGATGTACACAAAACACCCAAGAAATCATTTAATTCCACCCCCAGGTATACCCTCAGATTCAAATGGCACCATCTTGTACTACAAGGTCATCACAATGTAAAATAAAAAATGAATTCACTGTCCTAAAATTGAAATTAAAGCTGTGAAAACATACTGTTGTCCAAGGTCACCACTCCAGATATGATTCAGTCTCCTGGCTCACATTTCCTCCCTGCTGGAGAGCGTGTGTGGTTTTCCACAATAGATAGGGTGACATTTACTGAAAATATGCTTCTTATTCTGTCTACATGCTTTTAATCCTCTCCTGCTTACAGATGCTGTTAGTAGCTATGCAGGCCCCTACCCCAAAATGATTCTTTTCTCTAACTTCATCTTTGGTGAAGTTTCATAGCTGAACTCTCTTCTACTCAGACTCAGCATCCAGGACTCAACTGGTCCACTTGAAGTTGGGATACTTAAACAACAATGGCATGTAACACAGACAACAGTACAAAATACTGAAACCCAGTCATCTTTTTTTTTTTAACACAAACAAACTTGGGTTGCAGCTTTACTTTCCTCATTCAACATTTCTGATGCAATGGATGTGAATGGGGAGCTGGGACTTCAATAGGAAAGATTCAGTATCAAGACAAATGCCCTTTTATTATTCCATGGGGTTGAGTGGCCTCATGGTCTACAAAACACAAATCTCTAAAATCAAGGAGCACTTAGTGAATATTCATTTGCAAATGGGCTGTTTCAATGAATGCCTATCTTGGTCAACTTGGGGGTGGGGAGATTTGTTTCTTACACAATAGCATTTTTCTTCCCGTCTCTACTATCCTCTAGGTGACAAAGCCATGAAAAATTTCCTAAAAAACTGTAGTTAACTGAAATTAAAAAAAAAATTTAAAAAAACAGAAATGTAACTTTCTTCTCATTTATAAGACCTACAGATTTTGGAATCTACCAAGAGTATTGAGTCAGGATTCCAAATATCTAAGAAGCCTAGATGGAAGACCTAAATCCTTTAGAACCTCTGAACCTTTGTAAAAACAAAAAACCTAACATGTTTCCACCAAAATTTTGCTTTATAAGTGATTCAGAAACTAAATTAGGGATAAGACAAGTTAATCTCAAGTCAAGGACCCAGTTAGACAAGTCTTGAAATTCATTGTGGTCTTCAGCTTTTTTAAAACAACAAAGGATATTGGGAAGTGATTCTAGTAAATTAGAATAAAGAAATGACTTCAGCTGACAAATTCAACTTCTTCCCTTAATCAGATCCAATTTAAAGGAATCATGTCCTGGTTCAACATAGAAATGTTAAAATTTTTAACAGATGCTATTGATAATCCCTTAGATTACTAAATCCAAAAAAATTTTAAATCCAATTTTCCTCTTACTGTGTGTACACATAATTTATGTGCTGCTTATTTCTTGTCTTGGCCTGTCAACTGGTCTTCATATTTTATCACTGATTTCATAGATTGAGAAAGGATTTAAACTGAGGCAAGGGAAATAGCAGTGGACCTAGCATATAGTAGGCACTTTGTTGAATTAATAAGTGTGACATTTTGGTCACTCATCTCAAAGGGAAAAAAAAAAGGCCCATAATTCTCAGGAACTAAAAGACAGGGTAGGAACAGGCTGAGGTCACATGGGATCAAACTGAAAGTAGAGATGGTGGATGCCTCCTGCCTGATCTATTTTAAGACAATGCCAAATAACTCCTTTCCAAAAAGAATTAGAGAGGGTTGATGCTGAAAAATGAGTGGGTCAGGTCCCCTTTGTAAGCACAGAGAAGGGGTATGGTTTCCAGATTAGTACAGGTGTAGAACCAAGTCAAATTGTTATTTAGGAGATGTTTTCATGTTGTAGTGCCTCACTTTTTTAAAAAAATGTCTGCTATTGACAGTACAGGAGGAGGAGTCTTTTCAGGACATTCTGATTTCTAAGTTTCCTAGTCCTCACTGCAGCAGAGTAAAGCTTCCCCAATAATTTCCAAAAGCTTTGGTCCCCATGACAAGGTGCTTAGCCTGCAGCCCTGGAAGGCTAACTCAGTGACCACCCTGATCACCCTGTGTTCTACTGAGGGAAGGGAACATTGTTTATCCTCTGATCAGCGAGGCAATTAAAACAACCCCAAAACAAAGGGATATACGTACACACACATTGACAAATTGGCAGCAGGGTCAAGAGACATCAGGGTATACATGCTCAATCCCAGCTTTTGCATTCCAACAGAACATACAGCATTTCACATTGGGCATACTGTTTGACATCAATTCTACACAAAAACACAGCATTTGACATTTTGACAATATTCCATACAAGACACATATGAAACACACAGCATTGGCAGTATACCTTTGGGACATGACAGATTTCCACTTATTTTTCAATGCTTGGTTTAAATCAAAAGTTTAGTCTTCAGAGGTTTTTTTTTCCTGTGCCATGGACAAAGACAGTCTCAGATACATGTGGTGATGGATGGAGAAAAAAAATGAAAATGAGGAGAAAATGATGGGATGCAGGTGACAACATGGATGGTGTAGCCCTGCTCTGCCCTCACATTTTTGACAATGGCCAGTAATGGGCCAACCTTGTGAGCATCTATCATCTTCCTAGATGACTTCCTCGTGACCTGAAAAGATGCTCTCTGTTCTCACATGAAGAGAGGGAATTAACTCAAGAGCAACATACTAATTAAAAAAAAAATCAGGCCACCCACCTAATACTGGGCCAACATTGGTGTCTGTTATTCTGGGCCCATATTCCTAAAATGGCCGTATCCTTCATGTCAATAAGTCATACTCTTCAGCTAAAGATCTTGGCACATACTGTAGCTCATGTCCTGCCATATATTTATATATAAAACCCAGTAACTCTTGGTGTGCCCCAAATGCTGAGTGCAAGATAAACTAGGGCTCACACAGGAAAAATGATAACATAAGTAAAAATAAAGAACTTAGTCTAACGAGTTCATATCTGTCACCAGTGACATTCAATAGAAGAAACTTAATAAAAAATAAACACCATATATCTTGCTACATAATAATACAGTGAAAGCAAGCCAGGATTTGTGCAAAACAGAGCCTTTGAAATGCATTAGCCATCCCTAGAGCTGCCTGGTGACAGCCATGAGCACTCCTTCCCTAATACTTGTTATCTGCTTTCTGGTCCTACAGTAAGAAATCCTTCAGGCTTCAGTCTTAACAATGCGTGCCTTTTACATCTTGAACCTCCTGTTAATGAAGAACAGAGTGAAATACCATTAAGGCAAATTCCGACTAAAGGCTTAGTCATCATTGGACTCTATTCAAAGACAGGTGGTCATTTCTCAAAGTTCAATCAAGTTTCAAACACCGATGCCTGCTTGGAATGCCCTTGAAGTTGGCATTTCAAGAATTACTTCAAAATCTCATGTGATGCTCTTTCTTTTGGAAAAAGACTCAGGAAACAAAGGTCCTGCATCACTGTGACTGGGTAGTGAAGGCAGTTCAGAGTTAGTGAAATGGTCAGCATTAAAGAGGTGAAGAGGAAGATGGAATACACAGCAAAGACTAAAGACATGGACAAATTGACAAGGAAACAGGACAAGTTTTGGTCAAACAGAATAAAACAGAAATTGGCCTTTGGCAATAATCTCATTTTAAAAAATCAGTGCAGTATGAATGAAGGACAAATGCATTCATTGACCTGAGATCATGAGCAGGATTCATACTTACACAAACAAGTTCCCAGAAGGGGTAGAACTGGCCAGGTGATGAGAAAGCTGTTCACGGACTTCAGAGCACACGTGCTGATTGACACGTCTCACTCTCTCCCAAGGACATGGATTTAACTTGCATCCAAGATCACCATAACATACCACATGAACAGGCTGTATTGCTATGCAAAGACCATGACCTTTAACTGCTACCCAACCAGGCTACCTAGAAGCCTGCAATCCTGCATTTAAATGAAGCTCTATCCTGCTAAGCATCTAGTTCCCTCTAGCTGCCATATCTGTTTCATTTGCATCTAACAGGGCAATGAAGATACAGGTGAGGCAAAGCATGAGCAAATGGCCCTAGAAAAGGAGTCTCAGCAAGCCTCCTTAATTTATAATATGATCCTTAACACATAAAATGCCGTTATTCTGTATCTTATTGTCTCAGGTTAGATTTAAAGGGAACACAGCTCTTGAGGAAGAGTTCAGTAGATTATGCTAAAGATTTAGGATTCAAAAAGGCAGTGAAAATATATGCTCTTTCCTGTTCCAATCTGAGCCAGTTACCTTTCCATTGTCTCAAGTAAATTAGGATCAGTACTGCTGATGAATACTTTTACAAAAGCCACTTAGCAAGATAAAGTGCTGTAGAGATGGGTAGCAATTAGGAAGGAGGCAAAACACCATGCTAATCAATATCTAAACTATTTCACCTCTTCCTTTGACCTTGGCATGTTTCCCAAGCATACCCATGGAACGCAGCTGGCACCCTCTTAGAAAGGCAAAGGGAGAAGAATGCTAAAGTCAGAAATCCACAGAAGACTCCACAGTGACAGAACCAAGGAGCTGTTTTCCCCGCTGCAATATGGAAAGTGTAATTTTTCATCATCACACAGTAAGCTTGGTTAACAAGTTTCACCCCCAATCTGTGGGTTCCAAGAAGCTAAATTGTTTTTTATCATGCTCTGGGGCCTGAGCCAACCTCATCCTTTATACTCAAGCAGCTAAGCATTGTTTCTGCACTTTGATGGATTAATGAAAACCATTTTGTCATGAGCAAAGGTTTGGTTATGAAACAGGGGCTTCTAGCATATCATGTGGCCATCTCCACTGCCTCTTTCCCTGAGCAGAGCTCCCATTGATTCTCCAAGGAATATGACCATTCGGCCTGATATTTCACCACTAGTTGTGTCAGCAAACAGCCAGGCGTCTTTGGAGCTTGGGAGGGGAACAAGGACCATAAACCAAACTCTTTTCAGTCCAATCTCCAACAATATAGCTCTTTCCAAGGAAGATATTCCTCCACACCCAAAAGTTTATTAAACTGCTATCATCAAGGGCTTCCCTCCCATCAACTGTGCAGCAGTAGCCTGGCTGTTATCTCAGATCAAATGGGGGAGCAACTGAGAAACAAATGTTCTTTTGTGGCATTTTAGCTGGTTCTCCAGACACTTTTATCCAATGAGGAAAACGAACACTTTAAATTTACTGAAAATACAACAGAGGCATTCAAAGTGCTGAGAGGAGCTTAACACCACTTTGATCATCATGAATTTCACATTCCTTTATGTCAGGGTATTATTTCATCTCATCTTTCCTTCCTCTTTCCATTCTATATCCCCCAACTCTATCCATCTGTCTTTCTGGAATTTATTAAAATGATAAACTGAGGGGGAAGGGGAGAAGATGAAGGAAAAGAATCAAAAAATCACTCTTTCATTCTAAAGTCTTCAAGACACAAGAAGGTCTGTTATAAGGCAATGGATACCCCCATGCTCTCCTCTGGGCATTTATTTCATCTAAATAGAAGGCTTGATCGCTTGGGCCATCAATCCATTGGGTTCTAGTTTATAGCCAGAAACATCCTCACTCAGTTCTCAAAGAGAGTGGACATCAGGGCAAAGGGCCTACCTACCACGCCAAGGAACCCTCATAAAGGGAATATGCGAATATCACAATGGGGTTTCTTGACCCAGATTGTGGGTCTTCCCCACAGCAGAGAAGTAGATCCCAATGACCCTCTTTCAATTACAGAGATGATATTTGAAAGGCAGCATACACATCAGATTACCCAGAGAACTCACAGTCCCAGTAAGTGGATTGTCCCCAGGATGCTTTGAACAGAGGTGTCCCCTCTGGGGCTCCTGCTTCTCAACATGTGGCAAGAACCTCTAACATAAAGCATCACCACCTCCAACCCAAGCTCTGAGGTAACACAGGAAAGGCTGAGCTCCAGGCTGGGAGGCTTGGACACGGATGAAGATCAACAGGCACCATGGTTGAAAAAACAGCTATCAATTAACAATGTGTCATCAGTGCAATTGGAAACCAGGAACTGGAGGACAGAGCACCTTATTAACTGCAACCCAGATGGAGTGAGTCCTGCCCCAAGCACTGGGGCCAAGCTGCTTTTGCCCAGTGCTTGGTGTCCTCCCTTAAAAAACTTAGCTGAAGAAAAGGAGAACACTTTTTCTTAATACCTAGTGTCATTTTGGTTTGGGTTTGGGTTTTTCCTCATGGCTGTTGCTCTGCAGTTCCAAGCACGTCACCTTTTTGTATGGGAGAGCTGAGGCTCTGTAGCACCACCCTCCCCCAGGTCAGCTGGCATGCAAAGTGAACTTGTACGGGTGCTGGGCTGGCCTCCTTAACTGGGCCATTTTCGGAGTGGGAGACTGCGGAGCCTGTCAGAAGGCCTTGGGTAAAGAACTTCAGAGATGCAAGCTTAACATGGAGCCCTCAGTCAATTTTAGGGGCAAAAAAGAGTCTCAGGGAATGCTGGCTGGGTCTTACAGATCACGACCCCCATTTCTGAAAGACAACTACCTTCTTCATAAGTTAACTGGGCCCAGAAAGGCCTCAAACAGAGCACACATACCATCAGAACTCGAAAAGTTGCTCAGTCACTGGAAGGCAGATACAAGGTCAGCCGTAAGTGCCAGTTGGACTGTTTCTTTCTTTACCAGAGGCAGTAAGGGAAGGCTTACAAAACGCCGAGGATAAATAGAAGAGCATATTGTGGGGGGAAGGGGGTCCATCTCTCCGGGGCAGCAAAGGGCAACTAGTTTTTCTTTTTTTGAGCAGCCTTTCTTTTCTTCTCTCTCTTCTTTTTTCCTATCTTTTCTTTTTTCCCCACTCTTGCTTGTCTGCGCCCCCTTAGATAAAACCAGTAGAACCATTAATAACGTTGAAATGAAACAGTTCGTCTTAATCTGTGCAAATTTAACATTGCCTTATAAATCAGTCCATCCCCCTTTTCACTTTCTCAGGCCTGGAAGGCCCCCAGAAAAGGTTTCCCCCTCTTTGAAAATGCAGTAAAGCATTTACAACATTATGAATTCATATAATAAAACATATCATTGAATAAATTCAAGTGAATTTCCATAAGCCCCCTAAATTGTAATCAATAAGATGTACCCACATCGGGCAATTTGCACAGGTTTTGTTAACCTTCAATTCCTGAGATACCTATTGACCACTATGAAAAGTCCATGCCAAAATGACGCCCTCCCAAAGAGGAAGACACCATAAATTTCTATCCTTTTTGCTGCTTTCCTAAATCTCCAATTATATTATTCAAAGGTCACGAAGGACTTAACTTTGCTTAGATCAAACAAATATAAACATTGGAGATAGGGATGAATGAACTAGATATAAAACTAAAATCTCCAATAACCCAATGGCCTTTCAGTCTTATCTAAGTGGGTATTTCATCCAACATTTACAGATTGAAATCCACTTAGGCCTGTCCCCTCTTTAAGACTCTTCCCCATGTTCACTTAACATCCCATGAAAACCAAAGAGAGCACATAGGCTGCTCATCCCTCATTCTAGAGATTTGACCGCCCATCTTTTTTTTTTTATCATGCATTGTTCTCTTGCAGTTGCTGATCTAAATTTTGTTCATAACTCATGAAACAAAGTTTTGACTAATACCCAGAAGAGGACAAGAAATATTCCATCTTTGTCTTGCTTACTTACTGCTTGAATTCTTTTTGGTTATGACTGGGACTGTTCTGGAGAACAAGTTAGGTTGTTAGAAGGATTTAGAAGAATGACTGCCCAAGTGACTACAAAATTAAAATGATATGAGCTTAATGGTATTTAATGATTTATGTAGTGAATGGCATCCCTGGATAGTTCAATATTATGTCAACATCAGGTCACTGGATATTACATGGGGGATGTTATGGATACTAAGGAAGAGAAGGTAAGATAAGCAAAATTAGTGAGCTAGATGTCATCTTATGGGTTTCATTATAGGAAAGAAAGGGGAAAATGCCATAAAAATAATCCTGCCCTTTTTCCTGTGATCAAATTAAAAATTGGACAAGTCTGGGCAGCTTTACACCATTTATGGGAAGGCCTTTTAAGGCACTTGAACACCAGTTCAGTTTCCTTTGCAAATTTAAGCAATTTACAAGAGCCCCATCTATTAAAAAAAAACTTTTGAATTTTATTCCATATAAACAAATTCCCACATACAGGAGGTTTTTTGTACCATGAAACAATTAGCCATTTTATTGCTAGTGCATATAATGTCACATTTGATACAATTTCAATACAAGTGAAAAAATATAGTATGGCTGATTGAGATTGATAAGCTACATTAACATCATATATATAATATATATATTTTACAAATTTTGTCAGTAGTTGGGTGTAATATAGAAATTTAAACTACTGACATTCATATGGCTCCAATTCAAATATATGAATTGTTCAATGAAACTATAAATATATTCTGAAATACATTTGTTTTCTGAAGAAAAGTTGAAAAAAAATGTGCACAAAAATATATCGAAAGCATGCCATGCCAAAAGCTATAGCCACCACCTGAACCATCTACAAATAGCATTTATCCACAGAAATTTCATTCCTGCCAACATTTGTGATTGAAATATAGACCCCAAGTTGCAGTCGCTTAATGACCTAGGGTATTAGTAGTGGGTAAATGCTCTGGTTTCAGAAATCTCAGAGATTGTATGGCCCTGCCTGGGCAAGACGGCTTTTCTTTGGAGCTAGTTTCAGGACCAAATACCTAAAAACTGCTGAACTTAAAACTCTATTAAATTTAGCCAACATTCTTTTCTGTTTCCAGGAAAATAGGGATATGCATCTGGTAGCCCTAAGGCATGAGCCAACTCCAGTGTCCTGAAATGGAGCACATAGGGTGTTTTTAAACATTTTAAAGCACTGTAAGCCTAGGGCAAGCTGAGAACCAGGAAGGGGAGGGTTCCTGGAGAGAGGTGGCAGTAGTCAAACAGAGGTGACCTCCTATCTCACCACTATCACAGCTCTTTGGGTCGCATCTCAAGTACAGAAAAGATAAGTAGAAGCAAAATTAAAGCATGGCTTTTGGACAAGGGATGGGGGAGGGATAGAAGAAGACACTGGGTACACAGCTGCTAATGGGGTGATGGCTAGTGCTGAGGCCACAGCAGTTTGTATCCCTGAACCAAAGAGCAATTTGAGCATTTCCATTTGTGTTTGTTTCTATTCAAGGCAGCTGGAGATTAGTCTTGGTCTTGGAGACCAGGGATCTGAATTTCACTTTCATTAACTATAACCTCATTTCCAGCATACCAGATTAGTAGGAAGGTCTTATGGAAGTCTAAGGCAGGGAAAATACGAATCTCTTAAGTCACTGGGACACTATTGATCTTGTATAACATTCAGCAGGGAGTCCAAAATGACTCAATCAGAGTAATACAAACTATCCCTCTTCATATCAATGGGATTCCAGATTGGCCAGCAAATTAGAGAATCCCCTTTTTTAATCCTCTTCTTGAGGGCAGGGAATGGAGTTTGGTTCAATTCTCAACTTCCATTTTTTTTTTTATTGATCTCATTTGACCATCATTAAGCTAACTGTGCACCCAGGCTCACAATAGAAGAAAAGAAAGCTTCAGAGTGAGTTGAATAATAGATTTTGAAGTAATCGTGGATTTAAAAAAAAAGTAAAAATAAAGAAAGCATTTGGCTGGTAAGAAATGCTATTTTATAAAGATGATGAGTCTAGAAAAACCCCAGTTATAGAGATCTGACTTGCAAGAGCAGAGCCAGATCTGTCTATTATTCTCTGTTACAATAATGTACCGGTGCACTATGGATGCTTAATTGTGTACATATTTGATAAACTCCCAAGCTTGCAATAGATTCATGCCTTATCCCATATGAACACTTCAGTCCTTCTGAATGAGGACCCCTCCCCCACCCAAATTGTTACCCTTTACATTGGTAAGCTGTTCTTGCACTTCCCAGCTTGGATTAGCTGAAAGTCCTTTTGTGATTGTCTTGCTTACTTGTTTAAAGCTTTTTCCAGGTATTCTTGAATCCATTTTAATTTAGGATCAATGCATACTTGTCTGCTGCTGCTCTTCAGCTTTGCCCTGCCGGAAGATAAAAACCACCAGAGACAAAATCAATTTTTGTTAGTTAAAAAATTACTTTAAAAAAAGGAGAAAGAGAAAAATGACCAACAATGAAACGGAAAAGATACTATGTCTAAGTGAGCATTTCAATAATTTTTGAAGCATAGCTATTAACATATGAGTACGTTTTTTTTTCCTGTAAACCCTATTTACCTATCATCATCTCTGCTCAGTGACGGCATCCTCCTTGGATGATAAAGTGATGTCCCTGGGACACAGAAGCAACTAGCGCAATGCAGCAGAAAAAGCAATAGATTGAGTCAAAGGACTTCGATTTGGATTTCAGCTCTGCCTTTTGGTAGATGTGCGACTTTCATGAATACCTAAACTAACTATAAAGGGCATATGAAGAAAGATATTATCTGCATCCAGAGAAAGAATAGAAGTATATATAAAACAATTATATATATTTATATATATATATATACACACACATACATACATATACATATACATACATATACATATACATACATTTATATATAGTATGTGTATATATACGCATATGTATGTGTGTATACACATACACCTATTTGTGTCTAATGGTAGCCATCTCTAGGATGGGAAGAAAAAAAAGAAAAAAATAAATTTACATAATTTTGTTATATATTTGAAAGGAATAGTAAGTTGTGCATAACAAATTTGTGGTTTCATGTACAATCATCTTTTTATTGCACTATGTTATGGAAAGGCTTGCTTTATTCTATAAATTAAAAATAATTTTTAAAAAGTCATCTAATGTCTCTGGGTGTTAGTTTCTGTTATCTGTAAAATGAGGCAGTTGGAATAAGTAACTTCTAAACTCTCTTCTATCTGCAAATACATGATTCTATTGTCCCAGCTTCCATCTAGAAGTTATTGGTTCTAGGATTTTATGGCACCATTCCAAGCTAAGCATTGAAGCACCAGGAATCCCACTGCCTATCCAGAGAAAGAGTAAGAGGACCTAATGACCAAATATATGATAAGCCTATAAGTACAGGACAGTTAGTTCTATACTAGACCTGTGCCATCTAATTCAGCCTATCTGGTTGGCTTAAGCAAAGACCCTGCAAGGATTTTATTTTGCAAATGACTCATCAAGGTACCTGTTTATTATAACACAAGGCCAGTTCAATGCAGCCTACATAGGCCAACACATCCTAAGAGAAAAGCCCCCAGAGAATTAGAGGAATTGAAATGAGTTTTTCCCAAAGCTTTGGGATCTTACTCCAAACCTTGGGTAAATCAAGATTTTTTTTCCTCTCCAAACTGTGCTATAGGTAGTTTTTAACCTAAAGTTTAAAGCAGAAAGGGCAAACTACATGAATTTGATGTGGAGGGGAAAAAAGTAAATTTCGCATGAAATCCTTGTAAAATTTTTTAAAAACTGCACTCTGTTTTCAATAGAAAATAAGTAAACTAAAGAATCAAAAACTATATTAGTTACAGTGTTCTTCAAAACTGAGGTTTTGAGAAAAAAACATATGGTATTTAAAAACAAAATACATTTTATATGGCTCTTCATCAGTGAGGAAATTGTATAGATGATTGTTTCAGGAATTATCTTTTGGGGCAGTATTTTTTCCCTAAAACAAAACTCAGAGTTGTTTTGGGATTCCTACTGCAAACTGAACTTCACAAAGAAGGAATTTAGTTTAACAAACACGAACAAGAAAAAAAACCACAAGAAAACAGACCAACTGTATCGGGATTGTCTCTGGGTTCATGGAAAATTGTTTTAAATGACATGCTTTGGGATTTGGGAGGAAAAGTTAGGTTTTGAAAAGAATCCCTTCTCAGGTTTTTAGAAGAACTTATCTTTTTCAAGAGAAGACTTTGATTAAGATGGAACAAAGGTTGATAAGGGCTAAGCCATAAATACCAGCAAAAGAGCAAGAATGAAGGTAAAGAAAATGGATTGGAAATGGTAGACAATTGATTTCTGGATTTTCTTTCACAAATACTAGGAACTTAAATGTTGAGGATGAAGGATGTCTTTCTGGCCACAAAGATTTTTTGCAGTAGCCTGTTGCTACATTTACTACAGCTGCAGATTCCTTTCCTTCCTATAGCGTCTTATTGTCTGAAATAGCTTAGTTTTAAAAGTGAGCTAAGAGAGGGGAAGAGAGAAAAAACAGCCCGTTTTCCTTAAATGGCAAATACAAAGTCTTTTAACTGTCATATGTTAAATTCATGTCTCCTTGATTTAACGAAATAATCTGCTTCTATGAAGTTAAGATGCTTATTACTTGCATTATATTTTAGGGATATGTAACCAATCAATAAATGGTTTATGGGTCGAGTTTGTTTATTTTCATTGACCAGGGTTTCATGTAATGATCTATTTGGAGAGGCATTGAATTCTGGTAGCATTTCCTTCACTGAACTACCATCTTCCAATTATGTTTCAGGATTTGCAAAGAGGTTTCGATTAGCAGAATTCATTTGAAACTAAAACTAATCAAAATAATTATAAGTAAAGTCCATAGATCTATAGTGAATTGGACTTTGACTTCCTAAGGAAATGAGAAGAAGGAAGAAAGCATGTATTAAGCACCTACTCTGTATCAAATACTGTGCTAACTTTTCTTTTGGCCTTTTATTTGTTGGAGGGTAGGGAGAGTACGTGATGATCACCCTAGCAATCACACACTCAATTTCAGGGGAGCCTCCCAAAGGGGCAGAGGCTTAGAGACAAGAGCAGTGTCTTATCTTACAAGTAACAAAAGGCCATCGAGCAGCGCCTGGCACTCCTTCCCAGGCTATGCGGTGAAAGATGACTCCCTAGGCAACTTACACGATCTGGAGAGCACAATTGGGTGTGTTGAGGATTTTGAGATGCTTGATGTTGGCTTTGGCTACGTTGCTCTCGGTGAATCTGCAGGGACATCTGTAGCTCAGACTGACTGGTTTTCCTAGAAAGAGCAGCGAGAAAGATGTTTCACGTTATGCTCTCAGTCTGCATGAGAAACAAGCAGGGTCTGAAGCTGATATGAGAGGTTAAAGACCAGAGACAAAAAAGGTGCAGCTTATAACCAGCATAAAGGGAGAAAGGGAGCAAACTTCTCATTCCCAGGTGAGTGTTTGAGGGTCTTAAGTTCAGCCTTTGCAATTTAAGCAGACAAAAGAACAGGTGGGAATTTGGAACCTAAGAAGAGAGAAGAGATTTAAAATAAGGAGGCACCCAATTGTCTGCCCCCCAGTGCTATTAGCAATTAGAAAAGATAAAGACTGCCATCAGGGGTACTTTTCTGGGGTATTTTTCTCCTATGTTTTCCTTTGTAAACTTATTTTGCCTTTAGGGTAAATGAGAAGGGAGATGAAGGGAGAAACCAAGAGAGAATAATTCCAGAACTTCCCAAGGAAAATAAGTTTGTCTTCCAGGTTCCAAACTGGCATTTTCTGGCTTTAGCCAGAGCACCCTGGTGCATTTCCAAGTTTTAGGATCCTAGATCTAGAGCTGGGATGGACCTTAAGGTCATCTAGTCCCACTGCTTCATTTTACAAATGAGGAAACTGAGGCACGGGAAGGGTAAATAACTTCCCTAAGGCTACAAAAAGAGTAAGCCTCAAAAGTGGTATTGGAATTCAGGTTCTTGGAAGTTTTGATTTCAAAGAAGAAAGAGTTTACACAAGAATAATCTTCAAATCTTTGAATTCACAGTAAAAGCCAACAACTTTACTGCTTCCTACCCAAAGGCAGAGATCTTGAGGACCATGCCCTAGGCTCTAGGATGAGAAACCCAGGACCTCTGGCCCAAAGCCAGATGTGGTACTCTTTCTTCAGCCAAAGCCCGAAGAATTCAGCAGCCTCCTGGGTTCTCTTATTATGTTCATTTGCCAATTTACCAATCTGCAAAATGCTATAATTGATGTTCATTAGTGCAAATTAGCAAGGGGCTTCTGTGACATCCACCACTCATCCCCAGTGTCTATAACTGGAAGGCCCTGGAGGGGCTAGAAATGTGCGGGTTCCCCTCCTCCCTTCAGATTTTCATCCAAATGATCCTTAATGCTCCAGGCTATTTGGATTCTTGGATTCTTTCATCAGGAATTAGACCAGCATCTGAAATTATTTACTTTGCAAGTCCAAAAAAAGGTTTGAGTGTTTAAAGAATTGTAAGAGGCTTGGGGAGAATACTTCAATTCTGGTGTCTTCAGAATGAGTGAGCTAGGGTCAAAGCTGCAGTTAGCATCTGCAGCCTTGGCTGAGGGTAGGGGGAATAGAGGGAAGGGGGGTGCAGGATATTTATTCCTTTCTTTCTAAAGTCAAGTGTTGTTCATTTTGATTGATTGTCTGATTTGGGGAGAATAGTTTATTTCAATTCCAAGGTTTGGAATAAACAGAACTTGCTACTCTCCAAGGTCAGACAAGCCCTGACTGATAACCAAGAAGACAAAAGCTTGTTTTTAGGCCTGGGCCATTTCTGTTTTCAGTTGAGCTGAGAGGAGTATCCAAGGGGTAGTCTACTCTGAACACATCTGATCTGAAAATTATTGCCAGCCTTGCAATTTCTAGGGCTCCTGCCCAGGTCAGATGCAATATGAGAAATCAAGGGAAGAAGGTAAATTTCCATAAAATCACATGATGATAGATTTAGAAGTGGAAGGGACATTCGAGGTCATTGAGTCCAACTCTTCTTTTACAGATGAAGGAAATGGGTGAAATGACCTGCTTAGTGTGGCACAGGTAAGTGTGTGCCCGAGGCTGCTTTCACACTCAGCTGCTGATTCTTTTTTTTTTTCTTTACCCTACTGCTTCCCAAAGAGCAATTCTTCCTTTCCAAAGGATGCCTAGTCAGCAAGAAGTCAGGGTCTGCTTGCCTTCTGAACGACTCCCTTGCAAAGTCCATTTTTGCTACTTCTTAGCAGGGAAGGCTATCAACTCTTTCTTTCATCAGTGGAATAAATTGATAGACCAACAGATAAGATATAGAGATAGATAGATAGATGGATGGATAGATAGATGGATAGATAGATGGATAGATAGATAGATAGATAGATAGATAGATAGATAGATAGATAGATAGATAGATAGATAGATAGACAGATAGATAAGATAGATAAATAAATCAGAGCTTAACTAGGGCTAGGCAAGAGTGGCTACCAGTGAGAAAATGAGCTCTTTATCTCAAGGAAAGCAGTATAGCTGTTTACCAACCTGGCCTAGTAATCCTTGCAGCAAGCACAGAGAAGAAAGATTTAGTTAGTCCCATCCAGTGACAAAGTCACATATAAGATTTTTTTTTCTTTTCTCAAAGAGAAGCTTCTTTAGCTATCCCACCAAGAGTTCAAATGATTAGGTTTTCTGCATCCTAGAAACAGCACTGTATTTGTTGTCTTAAGGGTCTGGATTAAAATCCTGCCTCGAAGTTACTTAACTGGCTGTGTGACAGTGGCAAAGTTCATTAATCTCTCTGGTCCTCATTTTCCTCATCTGTGAAAATGAAGTTAACCTCAAAAAGCTCTTCTGGTTCTAAAACTGTGATCCATTTTATTCTCCACACAGGGTAATTGGCCATCTCGTGACAAAGGTTGTGAAGACGATCAAGCTGCTGTTTCACTTCATTCTATCCCAGAAGCCTTGAACAAGCCTTGCTAAGAAAGAGACTTTGTACAGAACGAAATTTTGAGTCCAGTTGGTGGCAGTGTTGTTTGATGTATTAACCCCCACACTTAGAATCAGGAAGGCCTGGGTTCAAATCTCACCTCACATATTTGCTGGCTGAATAGCCCTGGGCAAATCATTTAATCTTTCTCCAGATGAGTTTTCTCATCTGTAAAGTGAAACTAATTATAGCACCTACTTTGCAGGGTTGTGGAAGCCCAAATGAGATAATGTATAAAGTGCTTTGCAAGCCTTAATGTGCTATATAAAAGTCAATAGTTAGTCTATTTTAAAAAATACAAACCAAGCTACTACTTAGATATTTACTGAACTGGGTTTTATCTGCAGTTTGGCACTGGGTAGATGATGCATTTAATCTAGCTTAGCTATTTATAACCCTTCTGGAAGTTCCCATCTCAATTGTCTCATATCTAAATATATAATGTCCAAGTGTCCAGGATACTTGGGACAGCGATCCTCCAAAGAAAGAAGGGAAACGGAGCCAATCAGTCTTCCAAAGGGAAATTCAGGTTGTCAGGCTTCAGCTCCAGTGCAAATAGCACCCCACCTCACAAGCGGGGGGCAATGGGTCAAACACCCTGGCCCCAGCCCCAGCTGAATGCTCTGGGTCACCCCAAGGCCTGGGCAACCACAGAGTTCAACCAAAGGTGTCCAAGGCCACAAATGTGTATTCTGTACAATGAACACTTCAAATCAACTCAGGAAGCCCAGGTGATCTCTGCCCTGCAGCTGCCTGGGATCATTTCTGACTCATAACAGAAAGGTCAGTGTGGGTCTCACCCAGCAGCACACAGGGTGAGGCTGAATTTGCCTTCCCTTGCAAATAGGTCACTGACTATTAGAACTCAAAGGCAGCTTAGAGACTGTCTGGTCCACCCCAGCCCCATTTTACAGACAAGGAAATAGGCCCGTGGAAACTAAGTTACTTCTTCAAAGATATACAACTATTGAGGTGTAGAGAAAAGATAAGAATCCTCCTAGCATGGAGATCATTCCACTCATTATCAGAGTAACCTTTGTCTTGAGTTAAAATAATTAGAGTGGGAGAGAAAAAAAAAAGGATCATTATTTTACTTTCAAAACAAGAGTAAATTAACATATATATGTATATATGTGTGTGTGTGTGTGTGTGTGTGTGTGTGTGTGTGCATGAATATATATGCTGCTTTTTACCACAGTGGTGTTGATACATTTGTTGCAATTATTTTCATTTAAAATTTTAAAAAAAGAAAAAAGTACAAGTAAGTAGCCAGAGAACCAAGACTGTAAACACATAATCCTGATTTGCTTCTCTTATATAAAATTAATAATAATAAATCAATCAGCAGCCCTGGGTCCAATTTCAGAATCTTTCATTAACTGGCCTGGCTTTAGAGCAGTCAGTAAACTGCTCTGATTCCAATTTTCTTCATCTATTCCTGACACTTACCAACCTCAGATATGCTCCCTAGTATTTTAACAGCATCTCAACACAACCTCTCTGTTAGTATCTCAGGTATTATTATCCTTATTTTATAGGAAATTAGATCACTTAACTCTTGTCCACACAACTGACAAATGATAGAGGAGGGAATTCAAATCTAAGTCTCTTCCGACTCAAGTTTGTTCCACCTACACTACTTGGAAGGGAGGGGTCACGGGGGTCAGGGTGGAGATAGATATCCAGATCTCCTAGGTTTCCATCAGTTTAACTCTGAATCTAAATCTTAATTGAACATCTTGTCTCATACAAGATAAGGGGCTAAGGTGTCCATGGGAGGAAGCAAAGGGGGGGGAGAGACATTTGTGTAGTGCATTTTATTTTAAGGCTTGCAAACCTCGTCCTTAAGAACTACCTTAAGAACCTAGGTCTCCCGACTTCTGCATTCACGGTTGAGAATCATGGGACTGCTGCTGGGTATATATGGCACAGCAGAATTTCTCAGTCCCATATAGAATAAGGTAACGCCCTAACATCCAGAGCTTTAGTCAAATGCACAAGAGCTGGTGACTCTACCACGGGGCAGAAAATCTGAGCCAACCTAGCCAAAGTATAGCCGACATTGTCTCCAGGTTCCAAGCATTCGTAGCAGTGTGTGAAACTCTGAACTGCAGGATTTGCATGAAGAAGGAAAAGGGTAGGTGACATGAAGAAAGAAAGTTGTTGCAGAGTTATCATTCGTATGGATGGCCAGGATCGGCCTCTTGTCTCACCCTTCCCCCTAAATTCTTAATAACCTCAAACTATGCATATGCAACCGTTTCGATCTCAAACGTGAAGCTGAATTTCAGAAGTGTAAGTATCTCACTTTGCTTTTGTATTTTTTCCCTAACACAGTGCCTGGGACTTTAACAAATTTACGTTGTTTGATCAAATTTTGGAGTAATTAGGATGGGGAGAGGGGTAATTTTGGAGTAAATTTATGACAATTTTTCAAACTGTTTTTCCTCATTTAAAATTAAGAACGGTGCCCATCAGCCAGCGGTCGTACATTTCTGGAATCAACAAATGGACTAAGTATTTATGGAACTCAAGCTACGTTCGTAGAGCTAACCCACCCCCTCCCCAATTCTCTTGGGAGGTAAGAAGGATAACGGAATGAAGATTAACTCGGATATTTCTTCTCTTGTGTGATCACTTTGCCCTACATCAGTAACTCGCCTGGGTAGTCCTGGTAGTTGGAACTTGTCAGTTACCTTCTTTAGCTACTTTCACCAGCTCTTATCTCTTTTGGGAGCACAGGTTTACGGCAACTAGAATGATTCCCGTAGTGGTGGGGTGGGGTGGGGTGGGGGTGGGGGTGGGGGTGGGGGTGGGCGTAAAACAAACCAAAAACAAAACACTCAGAGCCCCCGCCCCATTTCGTGCTTTCGAATCTGGAGACACTCCACTGATATAACAAGACTAAACAGAAATAAGTACTTTCCCAAAAACTGAGTTCGTTGTTTTTAAGAACTTTTTTTTCTTTCAGAGAACTGACAAGCTGAGCCATGAGCGCTCAGGGTACCTTGGTTCGTCCAATTGAGTTTTCTCGGAACTCAATCTCGAGAAAGGCAATCCAGTCTCTCCCTCCCGCCTCTCGGTTTCCCCTCTCTTCTCTTTTCCCTGCTCTCTTTTTCCCTTTACAAACTATGAAACTGGACACCGAGGTTCTCAATTGCCGAATGTCTAGGAGATTAAACTTTCAAGCGACACCCATTAAAAATAGCCAGAGAGCCCTTGCCTCCACTACAAAAGAGGCTGTATCCGCAGGTGTGTTTCTGCAGGAGGATGGGGTTGGGGGAAGGGAGTGCTCTCGGACTTTTTGGAGCCCGGGCTCTGCCTGGGACGCCTTCGGCCGCTCACGGGGATCACTGGAATAGTTTGGTGCATACGCTATCAGGCTCTAGGCAGCGCGCGCTCACTCGAGCGTTTTCCTTGGCAGCTCATCACAGCGCTCCTGCTCGTTTACTGACGCTGAGCCGGGTACACCAAAGGAAGGAAATCATCCTTCAGTGAAAGCTGGCGCTTCCACCGCGTGGTGCAGTTTACTGAGTATCGCTGAGTACTACATTGGGAGCTGGAAGGGCCGTCCAAGGGCATCTAGTTCAACCTCCCTTGTTTTACGGATAGGGAAACTGAGGCCTAGAGAGATGAAGTAACTTACCAAAGGTCACACAGACAGTAAAGAACAGAGCCAGGGCTTCTCTGAATCCAAATCCATCCTTCTTTGCTACTACATCTTTAAGTCAGAGGGCTTCGGTTCGAAGCCTGACTCTGCTACTTAGGATAGTTCTGTGACTTCAGGAGAGCCTCTCCGCCTCCCGGGGCCTCACTTTCCCTATTTATAAAATTAAGGGGTTGGTTACCTTGCATCTCCCAAACCCATGTACATATCTTTTCAAACATCATAATTCAATCTTAAGATTCAGAGAGGACGCAAATTTAGCAAGGGAAGGCTAGCGGGGCATGTTTTGCTCTCCAGCTCAAAGGTTGTGCAATCCTAACAGCTGTGCAGCCCCGGCTCTCGCCTCCATTGTTTCCCTAGGGTCACCGGGGGCGGGGGTGGGGAAGGGGAAGGAGAGGAAGGGAAAGCGAGACCTAGAACGCTTCGTTTGGATTAAATCACCCCAGCACTAAGCAGGTCCTTATATCGAGAAAGATAGCTGGTTTCTGGAAGGTTTCCCTAGCTGGGGAAAGTGTGCTTAGAGAGCCTAAGGGAAGGTGCACTTTCTGGACAGTTTCTCCCAGGTGCCTTGGGATCTCGCCAGTCCCCAGGAGTCCTAACCCTAAGCCTGGGTTATTTTTAACCCAGTTCCCCTTTCGTCCCTAAATCTCTGCGGATCACTTGTCCTTGCCTGTTGTCCCGGGGCACCCACAGAGAAACAGAAAGTGTCGGTGAAGCAAAGTCCTAGACAGAGGGAACCCCTGAACACATGGACTCCTGGTAGATAGAACTTCTGAGATCAGCTGAGTCCCGTGCAGAAGGAATTTCGGGGTGAAGTAGAACCCAACTGAGAGAATTGCTGGGCACATCTCCACAGGGCAAGGACGCTGGGGCTGGGAGCTGAGCCCTCAGCTGGAGCCGCAGGCAGCAGCTGGGCAAAGCCCGCACACGTGCAGCCTGATGTTATTCTAAAGTAGAAAGTGAAAAAAAAAATCCCTGCCGTCGGAGGAGGGGTTGAGAGAGGAGAGGAGGGAAGGTCACTGTTTTTAATTACAACATGCTTAGTTTTGTTCTCTTTTTCCTTTGGAGAAAATAAAACTGGGAAATAAGGCCCGAGGTTTCTTTTTCTTTACTGGACTCAACGGTTTTTCCCCCTCTCTCTGGTTACTGATGCGTTTACATACCAAAGTAAATTCCTAGCCCCATCAACGTGAAAAGAAGTGGAAGGAGCTAGACCCCTTCGGGAACGAATGGTGGTCTCCAGCTAGAGCGGAGAAAAATTTCCACTCGTCTCCAGGCCAGTCTCATCGGCAAAGGAGAGCGGCTCTTGCTTGAGTTGAAAGTCGCTTGCCCTCCCCAGCCCAATTTAAGGCGTCCTCTAGCCAATCGCTGAGTTGAAAACAGGGAAAATGTAAACGGTGTCTTTCCCCAGTTTCTGCGGATCTGGGTGCTCAAGCCTTGCCCAACTGCAAGCGAAACTAGGCTGGTAGAGACACAGCAGCAGGCGGGAAGAAGAGGAGGGCAGCTCCTTAGCTTGCCTGGAAAAATAAACAGTTCTCTCTGGTTTTGTCCCCCAACCAACTCAGGCTTGGATCCTGCGGCTCCCCGGTGAGCGAGACTTGTAGAAAAATCTCCGCTCCCGGAGGGGACCTACTCTCCCCAAAGGTATAGTAAAGCGCTAGGGCTCACCTGGGTTTGAAGGCAAGAATTCTACCTTAATTGGGCCATTTAAACTTGTCAGTAACCAGAGGGGAAGAGTGTACTTCTTACGGCAGGGGCTCAGGGCTTCTGTCCCCTAAGGCAGGAAGATGCCTCCGAGTGCCCCCGTGAGGTACGGGCGCGGGGCTCACACTTACCCTCGGAGAGCGCAAGTGTTGCCACCAGCAAGGTCACCAGGGCGACCACTTTCACGTCCATGATCCTAGGTTGGGAAGCCGAGGTCGAAGCTGCGAGGTGTTCAAGGGTCAGCAGGCGAGAGAAGAGTGAAAGTCCAGCAGCAGTGTGCGCCTCTACACGCTCTCTCCTCTCCTCTATAGAGGGGGCGAGCTGGGGGCTGGGAGAGGGAGGGGGGGAGAGGGCGGGGGCAGGGTGGTGGGGAGGGCCCAGAGGAGGGGGAGGGGAGCAGCTAACGATGATTTATTGCCCGTGGCATGTTATTACATCCTTCCTCTATTAACATTGTTGGACCATGCCCAGAAGACCAAAACTCTCTCCGCCGCAGCCGGTCCAAAGATTGGCGAGTTTAGCCAACTTCAGGAGGAAAAGGAGAGTGAATAAACACCCAAAACTAAGCAGCAAAGGACGCGAAGTGGCCCGAGCTGCTCTGGGGGAGTCAAGCGGCACCTGAGGGAGGCGGGGAGCGGGTTTCGGAGCCTGGGGCACTTCAGTCCGTGGGGGTGGGGTGGGGTAAGATGGGGATCAGGGAGGAGGGGGCGTAGTTTGCTGGGTCCACGCGTTGCACGTTTAAAGGGTGTTTGCTTGTGAGGGGTAGAGAGTCTGGGGGTAGGGGAGAGAGAATGATGTGGCCACTCCACTCCTACCACTTCACAGACTCTCCCTAAACTGTCGCATTGGAGGGTGGGGGGGTTGGGGATGGCAACCTTTTTGAGATCCTGACTTTCTCCTGCCAAGCTCTAGCTTTAGATAAAGGGTTCTTAATCTTTTTATGTATCATGAATACCTTTGACCAGATGGGGAAGCCCAAAGACCCTTTCGAAGAATAACGTTTTCAAGTACATGAAACAAACACATAGAATTACAAACATATACTGAAATGCAGTTAATACGTATCACTTATATAATCTCTATTGATCTTTATTGATAGATGTGTGTGCACATTTGCACATACATATATACATGTATATGGTTCATGGACCACAGGTTAAGAATTCCTGCTGCAGAATTCTATTGTAGCCAAAGGCAGAATGGAGACCCATTCTTCCACAGGGCTAGATGCATCTAGCATTTCACAGGGCTGGATGTCAAAGGCTCTGTTCCTAGTGGAAAATGCACTATTCCTAATACTGGCTCCTCCAGGTCCCACCTGTGTGACACGGGGCTGGTCCTCTCCCTCTGTTTGGCCTCAGCCATCTATATCTTAATCATCTGCAAAATAGGGGGCTCTAATTAGAGGATTTCCAGGAAGCCCTCAGTTCTGACAGTCTGGGATCCTCTTGGCATCTATTAGATAGCACCTTACTGAATGCAGAGCGCATAGTATCACAGGTTATTTAGGGGAGCAGATAAAAAGCATCCCTTAGCCATCTTGGACCTTGGGAGAAGGGTGGGAACAGGAGAGTGGGTTTCCAATACTTGGGTGGGCCTAAGTCTGGCCAATCTGGAGGCCAGCAAACAGTAAAAATTTATTTTGAGCAGTGGAGCAAGCAGAGGGAACCTGGTCTTCTGAAACGTTCTCTTTAAATGTGGACTTCATGCTGCCTCAGGCCCCACTTATCCCCACCTCCCCTTACTCTAAATATGATTAATCTGTGTCTCTCCAGTTCTGTTGACAGGACCTTGTGAAAAGAGCCCACTGAGGATATTCAAAAGTTGGCAAGTGGAGTTGGGGCTAGGGTTAGGAGTAAGGAGAGACAAGTTGCAGGAAGCTTGAGGAGCCCAGAGAAGGAAAGGCAGTGTGGTGTAGTGGAAAGGGCTGCGGATTAGAGACAAGGTACAATTGTGTCCTTGTAGGGATTCTGCCAATCATGGGCATTGTGGGAGAGTTAAAGTACTGGATTTGGAGTCAGAGGAATCCCCATATTTCTGTGTGGTCTCAGACAAATCACTTCACCTTCTTAGGTCTACATTTCTACATTTACATATTGATAAAGGGAATAGATAGAATAGGTGATCTCTGGAGCCTCTACATGTCCTAATATTTTATGATTCTGTCACTTCCCTTTTCTGGGCCTCAGTTTCCCCATCTGTAAATAAGAGTATTGGTGTTTGGGGATCTCCAAGGTCCTTCTGTTCAATGAATGTTAGAGCTACATAGGACCTTGGATATCATTCTAGTTTAATCCCTTCATTTTACAGATGAGAAGGCTAAATCGTAGGCAAGGGAAGTGATTGACCTAAGATTACATGACTAAGAAATCAGAAAGGCCAGAATCCTTGGGACTTGAGTCTTCTCTAACTAGAGCAGTTTTCCTTCATTTTAAGGCTCCTTAACTCATCTCAGGGAACTGTTCCTATCCCAGTGGTGTCTGTGGGCTTTAGTCAAAAAAGCCCGATGTAGCCAGCAACTCACCAGACCAGGGATCTCCATGTCCCATCCTCACCCTCACCCCTCAGTATCTCAGAAGCTAGTTGCTTCAGTCCCAGGGAAAGGGCTGCTTTCTTTCCAGATGTAAGGGTTCTCAGAAGCAGTGCCCTCCCAGAGTGCTGCTGTTGTTTGTTTGTTTGTTTGTTTTTTGGTAGTCCCCTTGCTTTACTGGTTGGGCCAGATTCGAGCACCTGTACAGGGGGTGACCTACCCTTCCCCATTTCTATGCAGCCCAGGGACCCAGGAATCACTCATCCTTCTCCAGTCAGAGACAGAAACAACCAACTAGCCAGCTGAAATCATTCAGTCTCCTCACATTTCCCAAGGACCCAAGATTAGGAAGCGTAATCTCCCAACCCTGCCCCCCTTCCCCGCCCCCAGCTAGAAGAGATACAGTGGAAAGAGCACTGGATCTAGAGGATTTGGCTTTTTCTGGAGCTTGTTACCTCATGCAAACCAGTGGGCCTTCCCAAGTCTCAGTTTCTCAGTGTTAAAAATGGGGGGGGGTAGGGTGGATTATATGGCTACCGTTAAAGTAATCAATGAACACATCTATGATCTTAATTAGGAGCCAGTTTGACTCATAGGTCCTCGGACTCCAAATTTTGGGCTCTCATCAAAAGTTGGCTGCCACTCCACCTCTGCCCCTACTTCCATATACCCTTTTCAATCAGCAGTCACATTTAGATGGACATTTTCCTCTAATCTCCTGGAAACGCAGAGCCAACACATGTATTTGGGCACCCTCTAGCGATCCATACGCAGAGAAGCAGTTCTGAAAACATCCTGCGATTTCTTTCCAGCCCCTGCCCCCTACCCCCATATTTTCCACTTTTTTTTTCTCTTTCTCGTCAAGAAGCATGTGCCCACATATGTTATATAATGATTTACTATTGCAGAAGAGTAATTCGACCCAGTTTCCCAATTAACAAGGAAGCATCATAAAACTGTAGTGAGCAGTTATAAATCAGGCTCAGGGAGGACTGCACTCCCACCTCTACGCTCTCCCCTCCCCCCAATTTTCCAGGATCCAACCTCTCTACTGCTGCTGGATTGGAGTGGGGGGAAGCAGCTGATATTTCCTGTGGGCAGCAGCACTAGGGAGACAGGTTTGTATAAGGGCGAAACCTATTAGGGTATTTCAGCTAAACTCTGAAAGAGATTGCCCCTCCTACTTCTTTTGCAATATAATAGGTTGAGCAGCAGAAGATAAATCAAGGCTCCGCCAAAAAAGAGAAAGTCATCAAAGGGCACTATTCTGGTGAGGAGAGGAAACTCCGAGGAAGTTTCAAAAAGAGAAGAAAAGGATTCCCTCAGGTGTTATCTACTCCCTCCATCCCCTGTCTGTCTCCAGCATCTTTTTTCTGAAGGCCTCTACTTCCTCATATATAAAATGGGCATAATAATACCTATAACACCTCACAGGTTCAGACGACAATGTGTGTAAGATGCTTTGCCACCCTTAAAGTTCTAAATCAGTGTCATATATATCATTTTTGAAAGGATCATAGAGTTAAACTAGAAGGGACCTTAAAAGCTATGTAGTCAAACTTCTTCATTTTACTGCTGAGGATACTGAAATCCGGGGAAGCCTAAGAAGCTTACCTAAGGCCAAAACAGGGTGTAAACATTAAAAGGTATTTCTTCTTAAGGAGTTTTTCATTTTAACCGTATAGGGGAAGGAGAGATGACTTTTGCCTATGGGAGATTAGGGGAAGTTCTGTAGAGTGAGGAAGTGGGGGAACAGGTGGGTGATGGCAATATTTCAGCTTAGTGATAGGGAAGCCTTGACCTTGAGGAGTGGCTGTGGGTTAGAGAGGAAGGCCAGAAAGATTGAAAAGGAAAACTCCACAGGCCTCAGCAAAGGACTATACATGCATGTGCTTGGTTATCTCTGAATGGGGGTTGGAGAAATGCAAGAGAAGGAGAAATCGAAAATGGCCATGAGGTTAGGTTTGGTGATTGGGAGAATGGCAGAGATCCAGAAGAAAGAGAGAAAAGCAGGCTCTCACAAAGTCTTGATTTATACCACCTAAATAGACCCGGAGGTGTCCTCTGAGAATTATTCATTTAGGGGGCTGTCCAGTGGATTTAATTTTCCCGAGGAAGATGAAGAAACAGAAAGAGAGCCTTAAAAGGTTTTGTCTAGGACCAGAGAAGGGCTTTCTTCACTAAATCTTGCTGATCTCATCTTGGAACATTTTAAAAATAAACGAGACCCCAAATGCTATAACATATGGAAGGAAGAACAAGCTTGCCTTGTTGTCTAGGTGAGGAGCAGAAGAATGATTACTCCTTTTGCAAGCAGAACAATACCTCTAGAGCAATAATAATACAAGGATGTTGAACATCACAGCTGTAGACTGAGAGGCACCGCCTTGCTTATGACAAGTCCTTTCCCTCCCCTCCTACCACCCACATGCTCCCTCCCTTAACCAATACCCCACCTCCCCACTTTCGACTTGGGGCTTATTTCAGGGATTGGAATGGAGTTTCTACCAGACTCTTACTGAGAATAATATTTCATATGTATGCAGTGCTTTAGGGTTTACAAAGTACTTTCTTCCCAACAAACCTAAAAAATAAATAGTGGAGCAGTTAGATCGTACGGTATATAAAGCACCCACCTTAGAGTCAGGAAGATCTGAGTTCAAATCCAGCCTCACTTTCTTACTAACTGTGTGACACTGGATAAAGCACTCAATCTCTGTTTACCTCAGTTTCCCCTACTATTTTGTTGTTGAGTCATTTTTCAGTTATGCCCAACT